AAACATCATTAAGTTTAATAAGATCTCCACAATTCCACACCTGTCCTTAAAAGGACCTCAAACATTCTCAAACACTTGAAGTCCACATTCAGTTGTGAATTCCAAATCTTCTACAAGAAACAGATTCTGCACCCTACTTATGGTCTTCTTCCTTCTCATCATTTCTCCTTTATAACACACTGAAACAGACCTCTGCAACTGAAGGTGTAGACTAAGGTGGCTTCTCTGCTACCTCATCATTAGGAATCTTTTGCCCAGGAGACAAGTGTGCAGTAGCTTCTCTCTTATCAGTTGCCTCTCCTGCTGAGTTTGTACCTTAACACTAGGAATAATTGAACCAGGCTTCTCATTCCCATGGTGCTCCCCAGAGTAGAGATCATTCTGTGAGTGTACCTGAACAGAACTGTCTCTGCCTCTCAGCAGCAATTGCTTGGACATGTCTCAGCAGCAGATTGCTGTGGGCAGAGTAAAAGAACAGTGGTACATGCTAAGGGAATAAGGACACTTAAGGGATTATGTAGACTTTTTATTGAAGGAAATCTGTTCTCACATGTGCAGAGTCAGAGAATTGTCTACAATTATTCAGGTCTGGCCTCAAGGTCAGATACATATGGAGGCTTCTGAAGTCCACTTTGTAAACTTTGTGAGGATATTCTGTCTAGGTCAACTACAACTATGTCACAGATCTCAGCCGAACATATCCAAGAGTGTCTGGAGTCCACCAGGATGCAGAGGAGTCATCAATCTAAGCACAGAGCAGACTCCTATGGTGGACAAGAGGGATGAAGTATTTCTGAAGGTTTTGACAATTGTAACTTGAAAATGACATGTTAACTACATCCTCAGAGTACTGTGGGTGTCATCAGCAGTGCTGCTTTGAATGTTGGTAAAGCCCTGCAGAGCTGCCTGTGTTGGTGCCTGTGATGTGATCCTCAGGCACTGGACAACCACAAGTGGAAATTCAAGGTCACCAAAATGCTCATTGCCTGATAGGCCTTTGTAGAATAGCTACTGAAGGTCATCAACAAAAGGAACAAATAACAATGAATCACATAAGTCCCATGGAGTGTGGGAGTTGAGGAGAACTTACTTAAGGTTTCCAAAATTCTCAGAGACTTAGTGCATTGCATATCTTATCTTAACAAGTTACATGGAATTTATTGTTGACTGGTGACTTAGTCTCAGATCAATTTAAAATTTCCTCACAAGGTTTCATATGACATACAAAATGATTTTCAAGACATGAAGAAAAATTATTCCATTTCTGAAAAAGTTAACTAATCTTTAGTAGAAATCATTTGGTACCAATGAGTTAATTTTGCAAATTATCTTAACTTGAGTGATGAAGGCACTGTCCAGTTACAAGCCTACCATGTGCAGAATTAGAACAAGGGCATCATGAAAAATCAGAGGAGAGTGCTCCTCTCACTTATATCTGCCAGGGTACAATGACACTAACATTCCACTCAGAGCAGCAAACAGAAAGAACCAATGGAAAATCTGATGATCCTAAGGTGAATGGGCAACATTAGCAAAATGTGTGCACTTCGAATATATGTATGTGATAATGTAGGTGTTCACACATGTGTATGTACAAGTGTACATATGCACTGGTACAAATGCCTGTGTTTCTCTGTGTGTATGCTATATGTATACATGCATGTATATGTGTGTCTACATGTGTGTGTATCTTTGTGTGTGTATGCATGGTGTAAGTGTATATGTGTATGTTTGTATATGTGTCTTTATGTGTGCATATGTGTGTATGTGTGCATATGCATTTCTCAGTGTGTATATGGTGTGAGTGTGTATATGTATGTGTGTGTACTTGTGTATATGTTTCTCTCTGTAAGAGCATGTGTGTATCTATGTTAGTGTGTATGTTGGTCTTTTCTCCTGCTGGTGGCTTCTAAAAGTGACTGTCTCAGGGATTCAAGCACGATGACTTTGGGACAGTTCATGTGATCTCATTATTGATTGTGGTACTCTGAACCCAGGTATCCTGTCCTAGGTGCAGATGCAGGAGTCAGATCATGACCTGGTGAAGCCCTGACCTTCAGTGGTGCAGTCTCTGGTTACTCCATCAGCACTGGAAGATTATCTGCCATCAGCTTAATCTGCCATTCTAGAGAGAAGGAGCAGCTTTATGCAGGATGTATCTATAGAAAGTGGGACATTGAATACAACCCACTCTTGAAGAGTTGAGCAACGGTGATAGTTTATACATGGAGGAAAGAGTTCTCCCTGGAGCTAAGTTATGTGACCACAAAGGATAAATGGTGTTTTGCTGTGTGAGAGACATAGTGAGGGCACTTCATTCCTACAGGGAACAAGAGGCCTGGGCTGTAGGAGTCACTGAACACTCACAAGTCCTAGATATCAGACTAGAAGCAAGGGAAGGAGGGAAAACCTACAGACTTCCTGTTTGACTTAATGGTTATTGTCTCCTCCCCAATATCTCAGCTGCTCCAGAGATATATCTTTCTCTGTTCCTGTGACTCTGTTGGTTTTTTCCTCACTGTGGCATTAAGTTGGAAGTGGCTATCTCTCTTTAAGGATGCACAGGGATTAGTCACTTGGAAGAAGTCAATTACCATTCCCCATATGATCTGCTTTTCCTCCTTAATAGGCAAAATATACTTAGATTTCTCACCATCCCTTGCTTGGTGTTGTGGACTGAAAAGTGTCACTAAAAATTCATATTTGACAAGCATAAGTGATAAGGTATAATAACTGTTGTATTAATTTCTAGCAAAATTTGAATGTGTTCATAAAATCATTAGATTGATATTTTACATTATTTACATTCCAACCTTCATCTCTCCCCTTCAGGATCCTCCCCACCACCTTAAACCAATTGAAAGAGGTTTATTAGTTCTGCATCATATTGGAATATGAAGCTCATCTACCATATATGGTCACCTTAATCTCCTACCTTTGCTTTCACATCTCTGACTAGTAACCAGCCCCAATGCATATGTTAACCAAATACAGTCTTGCTTTTTAAAAAATTATTCCATTTTATGTTCAAAGTGGTCATTCCATGTATTCCTTCTTGGGTGTGCCTTACTTTGGTCTGTTCATCCCTTTCCATTATTCTCCCTTACCTCTTTATGTCCCACACCCCCATTTTTCAAGAGCTTTCATTACACATTCTTCTTTCCTCTTTTTTCACGTGTTATGGCATGCAATTTTACTGATGGTCTATTATTCTCTTTTCGGTTCCCTCCTTCCCTGAGTTCCATACACTTGTTCCACTGGTTCAAAAGTGCTGTACATCTGAGTGAGTTTATGATCATAATTGTTTTTGTATAAGTTTCTCTTTGGATTCATCTTCTTCGTATGAGACAAAAGATGCCCATCAATGCAGAAACCAACATTCATTCACAAAAAAACATTTCCTGGGTACATCATTCCGTGTATACACCTGAGCAGGTGCCTTACACCCATCACAGCTGTGATCCTGCCTACGTATGATTGCAGTCCAGACAGGATCCATTGCAGGGCTGCACTGCATCATGTGTGTTCCAGGCATCTCCTGACCTCATTTAGGGAATGCACAGACTGGTTATATATGATTCCAAGGATTTATACAAGTTTACAGGAATCAGTGTCTTGTAATATTTATTTGGTAAGAAAAAAGGAAAAGAAAAAACAACAAAATTGCCGAATAAACAATAGAAAACTTAGTAAATTTTCTGAGCACGAATGACTTTTATGTATATTTGTTGGAATCCTACCAGCTTCTTAAAATTTAATCCATTTATGTTGAATGAACTCATCCATAGCCAGGAACTCAGTGGCAGTTATCTTTTTGCAATTTTAAAGCATTCAAAACATTTATTAAAAATGGGACATAAATTAGGGCCTATTTTCTACAGAAATGGTGATAATTTTTAAAATGAAAAAATATGTAAAAGAAAAATGAGAAATAAACCAAAATATTTATTGTCTTATAGAATTGCTATTGTGTGGTAACATGACCTTTTCATAAATGCTTATCATTTAAAGAGATCATCTTCACAAATACCACTGTCCCTCTCTTGAGCACTCTGACCCTGTTCACTTGTCCATCCCCTTTTTAAGGGCAGTTCATGAACTGAAATCATGAGTATACCAGCATCCTGGAATCTGCATTCTATCTGAAAATGTTTCTCTGGAATTCATCTGCTTGAAATCATGCTGGCAGAAATAAGGAAGGCATGTGAATACATGTTCAATAATTTTTCCAACTTGTTGTTCAAAACAAGGCTCGGACAGTAGTTGAGTGGGAGGAGTATGGGAATATGCAGGTTTAGGTACTAGATGGAAGATTATTTGATTTGACCCAGGCATGGTGGGGCAAGGCTGAATCCACAGCACTTTGGAGTTTAAGGCAGATGGATGGGAAGTAGAGATTTTCCTGGGTTACTGAGAGACAGCAAGAAAACCTTGGGGGACAGAGTTAGACTCTTTGTAAGAAACACACTACAACAGCATTAAAAGCCCTGGTTAGGATAAGTAACACAGTTATGGAGTCATTTTGTAAAATAGACAAAGTCCTAAGTTCCAACCAAATGTGTAAAAAAGAAATGAAATTATTTATTTTAAGTAGGATATCATTTTACAGATAATAAAGAATTTATCCTAAGCCTTATATAGTTTTCTTTTAGCTTTTCATTTCTCAGTTGTAGAAGTTATAGTTTGGATTGCACATTGTTATCATATTTCTTAAAAAATGTATTCATGACATTTCGGGAATATGTATCAAATGTGTTGAATGATAGGGGTTGGTGTTATGTCAAAAGGAAGAGTAATACATGGTGTGGAACGGACAAAAGTTAAGTATAAACTCTTTCCAGTTGAAGCAATTACAACAGATTTAGTTTTTCTCATACTGATCAGTGTGTAAAGTCCATATCCATTTTGTCTCAACTTGATCATCTTGGTTAATACAGAAATTGGGGAAAGGACAACCTTGAAGTCTCAGTGACAATGAAAGACCATGCACTTCAAAGTTGATGAAATTGAGTTTTAATGTGCTTGGTGGATCTTGTGTGAAAGAAGTGGGCATTGCAAATAGGGGTATAAAAAGCCTAAGTGCTCCAAAGACCAGTCATTGGAGACTTTGTCAGAGGGAAAATGGTCTCATCAGTTACTGGAAGTTGCAGCTGGAAAAATTTAGGATTCTTGCTCTTGGAGAAAGGCAGGCTATTCAACTCCACTGGAGAGGTAAGTCTAAGTCTTATGTGTTTCAAAAACAGATTTTCTTCTTTCAATTGTCCTGCTGCTAAAGTCCTTTTGGGTGTTTTGGACCTGTAGCCTCAGTGGTGCCGTTTTGGGAAGATGCAGATATTAATAACCATGAGACTGTCTTGGTAACAGACAAGGCTCCCAAGAATATATTCTGTCTGACTTGGCAGAAACCTTATGTGGTTGATGCTGGACTGCAGAACCTGGAGAACACCTGCTACATGAATGCCACACTGCAGTGTCTGACATACACAGCTCCTCGTGCCAACTATATGCTGTCCCAAGAGCACTCTCAGACCTTTTGTCCACCAAGAACATGTATGATTTGTACTTTGCAAGCTCACATGATAAGACCTCTCCAGCACTCTGGGAAGCCGATCCAGCCTTTGATGGCCCTGGTGACTGGTTTCCATAAATATAAGCAGGAAGATACCCAAGAATTTCTGATGTTCATTTTGAGTGAAAAGCAGAAATCATTCCTGCCTGGGCACAAGTATTTGGAACCTCAGGCTGAGAACACAACCCTAATCTGTCAGCTATTTGGAGGCTACTGGAGGTCTCAGATCAATTGCCTCCTGTGCCATGGCATTTCCAATACCATTGACCCCTATCTGGATATAAGCCTGGATATCAGGGCAGCTCAGAGTGTCCAGGAAACTTTAGAATATTTAGTAAAGCCTGAAAATCTGGATGGGGAAGAGGCATGTGATTGTGCTACTTGTCTAAGTAGAGTGCCTGCTAAGAAGACATTGACTTTGAAAACTGCTTCTTGTAAACTTGTTTAAATACTGAGAATCATATGCAACCAGTCTCTGCATTCCCTACATGAGATGAAGTCGGTACCAACTGGATATCCACTGAGTAGTTAGAGGGGAGCTGAGATAAGTGCCCTGTGTTCAGCAGTTGCCTGGGCCAGTCATGATGCTGTGCTGCCCTGCAGTGGATCTTGTGTGGACTGCCATCATATGTAGGCAGAGTCACATGATGTTTGTAAAGGACGTGCTCTGACTTATTCATGCAGTGATGTACACAGGAAATGGTTTTTTGAGAATGAATGTTATTTCTGCATTGATGAACATCTATTGTCTCATAAGAAGATGAATGCAAAGAGAAACTTATACACAATAGCAGTTATGATAATATACTCACTCAGATTTAGAGCACTTTGGGACCAGTGGAAGACATGTATGGAACTCAGGGAGAGGAAACAAAAGAGAGAATGATAGATATTCTGCAAAACTGCATAACATAACCTGTGAGGGCAGAGGAAACAAGAATATGCAATGAAAGCTCCTTAAAAATGGGGGCATGAGAGGAAAAGGGGTAAGGGAGAATAATGGAAGGTGATGAACAGACTAAACTTAGGGGCACCCACAGAGGGAATACATGGAGTTACCACTTTGAACATAAACTTCAATATTAATTTTTTTAAACCAAGAATGTACTTGGGTAGAGTGTATTTTGGGCCATTTCACGAGTCAGAGGTGTGAATGCAAACAAGGTGATTAAGATGACCAAATATGGAAATGGGTTTCATATTTCAATATGATGCAGAACTAATAAACCTCCTTCAATTGCTTAAGGTGGTCTGGGGAGAATCCTGAGGGGGAGAGATTATGGGTGCCACGTAAATAATGTACAATATCAACCTAATAGGAATAGTCACTATGAATCACCTCCTGGATAAAGAATATATCCTACTACAATATTTATAAAAGTTATTTCATTGAATCTCTTTCTGTGCATGGGTTTGGGGGAATAATGAGTGGAAGGGAGCACAGCTTTGATTTAAGAATCTTAGGGGCTCAGGAGAGATTTACACTAAATTTGGGGAGAGAAAACAGAAGTTTCTCTAAGGTGAGGCTACCTGAGATAGTTGGGATACTGGAGAGTTGATGGGAAGGGGCACTCTATCCCACTGGGATCATTACCACCACAACCTTTCACAACCCATCCTAATATGTCTCAGCAGGAACATTAGTTGTATTCATCTCCATGGTTTTCTTCTTATCTGCATTATGGAAAATGGTTTACCCTGATTGTTGAGCATGAGGATTGAATAAAAATGGGAACCCTGACCATCAAAGGCCACAGTTTGCATGTGGATCAAGAGTTCATTAACACAGGATGTACAGGGACTTAAGTTGCAGAGTGTGGAAGGGCAAATGCTGCCCACCTGGTTGAGGTGTTCACATGTCTGAGTGAAGAGGATCAGGTAGCAGTATTGTGTCCTAAACTGTTTGCTGGTGTTTGGAAGAAATCATTCCTCACCATATTTAACAGCAAAAACATTCAGAGACAGAAACTGAACTCTTCATATATAAATGCATAAACAGAATTATTTACAAATAAAGCCAGCGTACTTGACTCCTCATCATACCTACCTCCCTCGTAGGGTGAAGAACATGTCCCACCTGCTAGAATTTCACTGTTTCAAATCCTATGTGTCCTTAGAGAGAGACATTTAGAGATAGAGAGAGAGAGAGTGAGACAATGTGAGAAAGAGAGAGAGAGACAGAGACAGAGAGAGAAAAAGGGAGAGAGAGAGAACTGAGAAGAGAAAAATAAGAGAAGAGAGAGTAGGCAAGAGAGAGGGAAGAAAGGAAGTGAAGAAAGAAGTTAGGAATGAAAGAATGAATAAGAAAGTGACCACTGGATGCCCTACTGTGTGAGTCTCCTTCCCCTATCAGGACATACACTGCTGGTTGAGTCCAAGATTTTATGAACACATTCAGCTATGCTACCCTTTGACATTAACACACCAATTAGTCTACCTTGTCACATAGTGCTGCCTTATGTGAATTTTTAGGGACATTATTCTGCACACAACACAAAGAACTGATTTTGAGTAATCTGGATATATTTTATGTGTGAAGGAGAAAAAGCAGACCATATGGGAAATGATAACTGACTTGTGTCTACTGCCTACTCGCAGTACATCCTTAAAGAGAGAAAGTTACTTCCAATATAATACCACAGTGAGGACATGAGGGAAGAGAAACATGGGAACAGAGAAGGGATATCACTTTGGCAGCTGAGATGTAGGAGAGGAGATGTAGTTTTTCCCTCCTTCCCTTGCTTCTTGTCTGATATCCAGGACTCTGTGAGTATTGTGTGCCTCTTACATTCTAGGCCTCCTGTTCCCTACAGGAAGGAAGTGCCCTTACTGTGTCTCTCACACAACAAAACCCCCGTTTATCCTCTGTGGTCAGAGAGCTCAGCTGTGGGGAGATCTTTTTCTTGGATGGACTTACTGTCATGGTGACTCAAATCTTCAGTGATGGGTTGTGTTGAAAACCCCCACCTCTATAGACATGTCCTATAAAATGCAGCTCCTTCCCTGGTGAATGGCAGATCCAGCTTATGGCAGATCATCTACCACTGTTGATGGAGTAACCAGAAACTGAACAACAGAAGGACAGGGTGTATGAGGTCTTCACCAGGCCAGGATCTGATTCCTGCATCTGCACATGGGACAGGGCTTCAGGGATAGAGAGCTCCAGTCAGCAGTGAGTTCACATGCATCTTCCCCATGTCATTGATCCTGAATCCCTGAGACAGTCATATTTAGAAGCCAGCAGCAGTAAACAAAGACACACAAGTGTGTCGCATTATTATGGATGATGTTGATGACTCTTCCAGAATAAACACAAAGTGTAAAAGAGTCTGAATTGAAATTATTGTACAGCTTCATCTGCTGATGTATTTGGGTATTTGCAGGTGGGATGAACCCTGCATGTGAGTACACAGGAAGGAGTACAAGTTTCCTATTACCTTTCTCCCCTGGAAGGAGGCAGCTGGCTGCTCTTTGGAGAGTTCAGCCCTTTCTCTCCTGTCAGCTGTACCACAACTAGGGTCTTGATCTGCTAGGAATGAAATGCACTTTAGGAGGTGAGCATACATCCTGACAGGCACAATATAAAAATCATACACATGTAAAAATACAGAGGAACACAGACATGTGTATACCTATAAACAAACACACACATATTCTGAAAAGTGGGGCAGAGTTCAAAGGTCATAACTCACAGGTTAATTTTCCTTAAGTTAAATCTAGGGCTGGAGCTACTGCTCATGTATATGGCATGACTGCCTCATGAACATGAGACCCTGAGTTCTGACCCTAGTACCACTGAAAAAGAAGCAACTCATTCTGCATTGCTTTATGTGTATTTCATTGATGCTCCTTTAACAGTTTGTTGTTTATTTATTTGGTTGGGATTTTTTTTAATAAAGACATATTAATAAGATTGGAAGTAGATTTCAATTTCTTCAAGTGGTTAGAATTGGTAAAGAAAAGTCACACAAAATTTGATGTAAGACATTATGGTATCCCAGGCTATTGGGTGAAGATGAGATGATTGGGTGCAATCACACGAGTCTGGTGAGACTGCATAAAAGGTGTGCAGAAGACTTCCATGATCTAAGGGTTTAGAGTGCATTATTTTTTGCTCTTTCTTGTGCTTTACCTCAGCTAAGTGTGTCTCCAGGGTCTCTGCATGTTGCTGATTCAGGAGCTCATGAGTTCTGCAACTCTGTCTCAGTTGCCATCTTTAAGACCAGAAACATTAAATGTTTGAACAGATGTATTTGATGCTTTCCTGATTTTTTCCCTCCATATTGTTCTCCCATATAAGCCAATATAATCTATCAATAAAATGATGTGACAGTTTACATAATTTAATAATATGAGTAGGGCTGTGACTCAGTGTAAAGCTCAGTAGTTGAATTCACAAGGCCCAGGATTTATCATCCTGAAGCAGATAATATCTAAATAGATGTTTAATAAATAACAATTGAATAACAGGCCAATGTATCTGCTGGACACACTGCCAGCATGGTGTGAAAAGTTGCTTTTATACCTGAGCTGTTATCTGTGCTCCATTCAGCACACAGGGCCACTCCCTCAGCTAAGCTGAGCAAAGATTGGGCTGAAAGTTCCAAGATAGCTCTGGAAACTGTGTGCCTGCTATGTGGTTTTCCAATGACACTATACCTCTGAATGGAGATCACCATGGCTCAGGACTCTGGCTAAAGCCTCCTTCAACTTATGGCTCAACTCCCAGAGAAATAGTGGAAGCAGCCAGGCTTTTTAAAGGCATTGTGTGTTGTTTTTTAAACACCTGTGTTAATATATCTTATTACATTGGCTAAGTACTTAATCATTTTTGTACTTTATGGTTTGTATGATGTACTTCAACAAAAAAGTCAAAATACAGTTCCATTATTTCAATTACAAAAATAGGTTGGTTGTGAAAGTCAAATATATTTAAAGGCAACCCAATACATCAGAATACTGTTTACTTAGATAACATAAAATACATTAAATTTTCAAAATGAATAAAAATACTTTACATTAGAATTTGAGAAGTAATGTAATCATAAAAATCAGGCCTCAGTGCATAAATAATCCATTTGCAAATGCTGGATTCAACACTCATTTATGACTGGGAAGGAAGTGGTCATGTCTGACAGAACAATTTCTGAGAAGATTTTCAGGGAGAGAAAAATTATAAATAGTGTTGTGAGGACCTCCTTATTCAATGCATTCTTATTCTAATTATTAAAAAGAATAAATTATGCAAGCTATCATTACTAATATGTTACATGAAGTCTCAACAAAGAGATATAAGAGAGGAAGGTTTGTTATAATACTGTAGGAATGAAAGGAGTAAAAAAGAAAGATGATAACTCTTACACATGTTTCAACTATGTCAAATGTGAAGAAAGGAATTTCTCTGCTCTGAAAACTTACAATAAGGATTATTGAAAAATAGAAGGGGTG